CGGTTTGCTTGCGTCATCTAGATCGTGACGTACTTCAGGCGCTGGCTCCTCAACCTTCTGCTTCTTGACCTTGCGCTTCTCTTTGCCGTCTGGACCCGTGATGATTAATACCTCACGGCCCTTTTCATCCGTCTCGATACGGTGTGTCTCGCCTTGTGCATTTATCTTGCGGAAGCCTGGCCCCAAGGTAGGAAACCTTTTCTCGTGCTCAGCCGCCGCGGCAGCAGCAGCTTCTTCTCGTTGTCTCTTGAGGTCCTTCAGGATGTCGTTTCGGCTCCTCTTGACGCCAGCAACAGGCCGTGGTGATGTCATCTTCTCGCCTTTCTTCTCGACCTTCTCGCGCGTAATGGGTCCGACATCTGCTTCTGCCAGCTCATCGAACGCGTCCTCGACTTCTGGTGCCTCTTCTGCCTGCTCGTCTTCCACCTCTTCCTCCTTCTTGTCTTGGTCACCCAGAACATCCTCACCCCGCCTTACTCGCTCGAGGAGCTTCCTGTCCAGGCCCTTGACCAAGTGTGTGGTCCCAACATCACCGCCTGTAATCTCTTGCACAAGATTCTCAAATGTCTCACGGTCAATCTCGCCTTTCTTCATAGACTCCTCGAGGTTCTTGACGCGTTTCGCAATCTCGTTGTCTTCCTCATCGGTGTATGCCTTGGTACGGTCGGTGTAGCCTGCGGCGAGCTTCGTCCCTTTTGGTACTATGTTTCTCGTCTTCTTCTGCGGGTTGTTCTTCGCGTTGCGTTCGGCAAGTTGGCGCGCAAAGTCTGACTGGACTGACCCCTTGCCTACCTGGCGGCTGCGCGACTGTTAGCATCAGTCCTCGTGCGCGAGACAATGTGGAGGAGACTTACGGTGTCATTGGTATGCTGGAGTGCTTGCGTGCGCCCAGCACTGCCCTCGGCGTTGCGGCCGCGGGAGATTTGCCCTTGTCGCCATCTTGAGGCTTTGGTGTTTCGACGAGCAGTCGTCGGAATTGCGAGTTGTTCATTGTGCGCCGAGTGGAGAGTTTGGTACAAAGTCGGGATTCGCAAAAGACGTGCCAAGCCTTTCGCAGGCGTCTTCGGGTTCGCGTCTGCACCGCGCGACAAGTGCGCTAGAGCAGTGTGGCTGGATCAAACGCGGGGAACCTTGGACGCAAGCGCACAACACCAGCCTCGTCTGTTACCAGAGGTATTGCGTCACCACGGGCACGATGATGGACGGGTGGACTTGTCCTCCTAGGTGGACTTTGTCACCGTACTGCTTCCGCCCTAGTTGAGAGACTGTGAGGCTGCACCGCGATCGTCCTTGCGTATGATCAGAAGACTACTGTAGAAGAATACTACCTAGGTATTCAGTTCCCTGTGTGATAGTCACGCCAGATCGCTACCTTGAACTTGTTCTTTCACTTGCCCGGGCTAGGTACCCACCACCCCGCGTCTCCCCCCGCACAAGTACTTGAACCGCCTGATAAATAAATTGGTCTCCCTCACTTGCACCCAGTCTTCTCCAACACACTGTGCGATTCTGACGGCAATATGTTCAAGCTTCTCATCGTGGCGGCTCTCGCTGCCGTGGGCGTCTCCCAGTACAGCCTGCCGCCATCTTTCGGCAACATGACCAACTCATCAACATTTATGAACCCGATCGTGCCCACTGGAGCAGACCCGTGAGTCAAGTCCTCCAGGTAACTACACGGGCCTTAGTCTCCTAACGCCATCTAGCTGGATGTTCCGCCACGAAGACTACTACTACATGACCTACACCAACAACGTCAACATAACTCTCTGGCGCAGCAAATCCCTCACCGACTGGTCAACCGCAGAGTCTAAGACCATCTTCCAACCTCCGCCCGACCAACCCTATTCCACCGACCTCTGGGCCCCAGAAATCCATCAGATCGACAATGCCTGGTGGGTAATCTTCACCGCGGACCCCAACTTCGATTCTCCACCCCCAGAGACGGAAATGTGGTGTGAATACAACTGCCCCGCCGTAAACCACCGCATGTTTGTTGCCGTGGGCGAAGCTGATGATCCCTGGACGCCTGAGTACAGCTACCGCGGCCAACTCGAAACTTACGACCAGTTTGCGATTGACGGGACATACTTCCAACACGCTGGCCAATTGTACCACATCTACTCATGCTGGTACCACAAATACGACGGCTGGCCCGCGAACCTCTGCATCACCAAGCTGTCGGATCCATTAACCACCGTGTCACCTTTCTCCGAACGCCAAATCATTTCCGTGCCGGAGTACGCGTGGGAGAAAACACCCTTTGGACGGGCCTCTAATGATCGGCTCTCTTCAAACGAAGGGCCCCAGCAGTTGGTCAATCCAGTCACCAACCAAACCTTCCTCATCTACAGCGCCGCGCGGTCTGATAACCGTAACTACTGTCTCGGCCAGCTGGAGCTTGTAGGCGACGACCCGATGAACCCTAGTGACTGGCGCAAACATCCTTACCCCGTCTTCTACCAGAACCCTAGTGAAAAGGCGTATGGTGTTGGACACGCGTCATTTACTACTTCTCCAGACGGCACTGAGGATTGGATTGTGTATCATGGTATGGAGGATCCGACGAATGGGTGGAGCGCGCGTACGATTCGGGCGCAGAAGTTTGGCTGGAAAGAGGACGGGAGTCCGGATTTCCCTAAGCCGGGATACGGGCCGTATGAGGTGCCTAGTGGGCAGTAGATAGATGTGAGATATGGCGGATAGGTCTACAGGAATAAGAGGCATGCTGCTAGGCTGGGCGCGCGCTTCGATACTGCCTAACCTGCGCGTCTTACATCTTTTGGGCAGGAGCGACCAGATGCAGTGCTGATCAGGCTCATGGGTAATCTTTCGCTTGATGTCTCTCTTGTATACAGAGCATGGGTACTTGGATGTCCTTGGAACCGTAGTGTCATCTTAATGATAATGATTATGATGAACTTTGACGACCACGCGAAGTGCAATATGTCCTTTGCGCAGTACGTGAAGAAGGCCTTACTATAATCCATCGTTCCAAACCTTTGTGTTTCCTTGATGTGACTTGTTCAAATGCTGCGACTTGCGTGCTTTCGCGTTGCTCTTCCGACGCGTCTTCCCACCGATCAGCTGTACTTTCCGGAAGCGATGCGCAACCCACCACATCGCTTGAATCGACGTGATGGACGCATCTGTAGGAACTTCTGATGTCTCTGTACATATCCCGACGTGATGATGCGATTTTATCGGATCCTATTTCGTGTTGTGGTTGCCATGTGGTGAATATCATCAACAATCTATACACATATTTTTCCAAATTAGGACTCAACACGTAACAAGTTCAAAAAATTCCAACACCACCACATCATGTCCAATTTCCCTGAAACTTGAGGTACCAAGTTTTGTATATTATAAAAGTATGTTACATAAATTTTAGATCAAACAGACGTCGTTGGAGTTGTTTGGAATGTGTAGGTCTGCGGAAGTGTCGTTCCGGTGCAGCCAAAGCACGAATACTTTCTGACCAACAGCACACAACGCGCATTGTTAATCCACCACACGACGGAATCGATATTATATTCACGTTTATTCATTAGACACGAAAGACTACATAATTCCCAGCAATAGAACGTCGCGTTGAGCAGCCGTCAGACACAGGAAAGACATGACGTCATACACCAAACTGCCATTTTTCACAATGCCGTGTTCACTCAAGTGGCAAGCAGCGATGAGTCACGTCGTCTCCAGCTAGGCAGCAGCAACAGCGAGCTACAGAAACGACATGCTCATTGTGAAGGATATGAAAGTCGGTCTGATTGACGTTGGACACTAGCACGACAAAAGGCGGAACAGCACATCATGCCAAGTGGAGCCACCACCGCCATGACCACCGCGTTTAGATACAGAACTCAGACGCGTCGCGACGCAGCAGCAGCAGAAGGGACATCACATTGCAAAAGACAGTAGATGAAGTTATTATGGTATCATTCCATGCAAATCAGAACCCTGACTGATATAACCCGTGAACTCCGAGCCTCACTGTACTATACAAAGGCTATGACCATTCCCACCAAGCACCGAAAGGAGCCGACCGTAGACTGAACAAGTCGTAACATGAAAACCGTGATGAAAAGCAAGAAGCGCGCTTAACCACCGAAACCGTACAGAGTACGTCCTTGACGCTTGAGAGCGTAGACAACGTCGAGGGAGGTGACGGTCTTGCGCTTGGCGTGCTCAGTGTATGTGACAGCGTCACGAATGACACCCTCGAGGAAGGTCTTGAGAACACCGCGGGTCTCCTCGTAGATCACTAGGGCTTGTTAGAGGGCGAGTGGAGCAGGCAGAGCGAGGAGACATACTGGCTGAGATACGCTTGACACCACCACGACGTGCGAGACGACGGATAGCGGGCTTTGTGATACCCTGGATGTTGTCACGAAGAATCTTGCGGTGGCGCTTGGCACCACCCTTTCCGAGACCCTTTCCACCTTTGCCGCGACCAGTCATATTGATGGTTGTTGGGGGAGTTGTTTTGGGGAGAGGTAAAGTTGGTTGAGTGAGAGAGTTGTAGAGTTGGTGAGGCTGGTAATGTGCTTGGATGATGAGAAAGATGGAGTGGGCGGCGGTCGTGTTTATGAGGCAGCGGGGCGCGTCCCAGAAGCGCGCCGGATCACACGTCCTGCCACCGCCAGATCAAACCGACGCACGGGCGCGCTTTCCAGATCAACGACCGTGCCCCTTCCCAATCGGGACACGTGCGTAAGCGAGCCAATGGCGAATGCGCGCGCGACTTGTGGACTTTGGAGTTTTGAAGTTCCAGCTGCGCGCGCATTACCTGGTCGCTAGTTAGCAGTTGACTTTGGTGTTCGTAACTGCGCGCAACAAAGATTGATTTTCCAGGCAGCCGCCCGCCCCCCCATTTACCATATAAGCTGCGCCCGCCCACCCTCCTCCATCTCTCATCCACTCAACTCCACTCATCATCACAACAACCATCTCCATCACCCACCACAACTACTTCTCCATCTCCATCTACCAACAACATGGCCCGCACTAAGCAGACCGCCCGCAAGTCCACTGGTGGCAAAGCCCCCCGCAAGCAGTTAGTCTAGCCCTCAACTCTGCCTTTCTCATCGCATCGCAACATACTAATATCACTTCAAGGCTCGCATCCAAGGCAGCTCGTAAGAGTGCGCCGTCTACCGGTGGTGTCAAGAAGCCTCACCGCTACAAGCCCGGAACCGTCGCTCTCCGTGAGATCCGTCGCTACCAGAAGTCGACTGAGCTCCTCATCCGCAAGCTGCCCTTCCAGCGTCTTGTTCGTGAGATTGCCCAGGACTTCAAGTCCGATCTCCGCTTCCAGTCCTCCGCCATCGGTGCTCTTCAGGAGTCCGTCGAGGCCTACCTCGTCTCCCTCTTCGAGGACACCAACCTCTGCGCCATCCACGCCAAGCGTGTCACCATCCAGAGCAAGGACATCCAGCTCGCCCGCCGCCTCCGTGGTGAGCGTGGTTAAGCTTCTCAACAACACATCGACACGACATGACAACTTCTTCGGGTCAGTGATTGGATTGGGTCTTTAGTGGTTAGGATATCAAGGCGTTTATAGGGTTTCATGGTTCACGGTCTTCAACTCGGTTTATGAGTGCACACGAGCGGTGCTGAGCATGTAGTATATCCAGGTTAATCAGTGATGGTCACTGGCGATATTATCTCGAAATCAACAGATTTCTACTTCACATTGCTTCCACTGATGGTGATGTCTTGCTTTGACTCTCATGTTTATCTCACATTCACTTGCTGGTGTTTTCATACGACGAATATTCGCTTACGCCAATGGTCGCGATCCGGTCCTCATCCCGCAGTATGACGCCCATCGCAGCTAACAACGCGATCATCACGACCGGTCCCTTCATGAGCGACACTAACATCAAAGACTACTATCATGTCCTTTGCATCACGTTGTGCAATCGTGCATCTCCATCTACTCGATCTAATACAAACAACTAATTCACCATGACCTGGCAAACCGAACTCAAGTCATGGCTGTCGCCACCCAGCGTGCAAACAGCAGAAACGCCCACTGTCAGCCAAAAGGCACCTCCAACACCAAAGCTAAACATACCTGCAAAAGATGGCAAGCCGACCGTCATCAGTTTCCTCAGACACTGCGGCTGTCCTTTTGCAGAGAAGACGTTTTTGAATATGAGGGACATGGCAGCGGCGCACAGAGATGTCGACTGGGTGGCTGTGAGCCATAGCGAGCAAGGAGCGACGGAGAGGTGGTTGGTGGCACTACCTGAGCCTGAGAAGAACACCCAACCCAACCTCCATGTCATTGTTGATGCTGAACGCGAGGTACATTGTGGCCATACAAAGAAGCTATACAAGACGTTACACTGACCCGTTGCACTTTAGGCATATGGCGCATGGGGCTTGGGCATATCGTCCTTGTGGCATGTTCTTGGTAGTATACCCGGGACGACGAAACTCAAACAAGAGGGCATCAGCGTGCGAGCTACAGAGAGCGGCAGCAGGTGGCAGACGGCGGGTAATTTTGGGATAGACGGAGAGGGGACTGTGAAGTGGGCGAGGGTGGATCAAAGGGCGGATGATATGCCGGATTTCAAGCAGGGCCTTGATGCTGTGCTAGGTGGGAGGTTTGAGCAGGCGGGCGTTTCTGAAGCTATGCAGGGCTGATGGGAGATGGAGAGATCATGGTGGTATATGAGAGTACTTGTCTGTTATTTATGTTGTTATATGTGGTGCAGGTGCGGCGTATTGAATGGAGGCTGCTGTTCATATGCTGGGTGCAGTGTGCTCGATGAGTTTGGGATGATAACGCAGGCACTCACGCATACTTCTAGTAACAATGAGAAGAGTGGGAAATACCAGATTGCCTTTTTACAGTTTTATTTCCTGTACACACATTTTTCTATTCGCATTTTGGTGTTTAATCACCCCTCGATTGGCCCGCCCGCCGATGACCTCACGAGTACACGCGAAAACGCGCCAGCACGCTCAGCGCGTCAAAGAGTCGCCACACACGCACGACCAGCACGTCGCGGCTAGATCATGGCATCATGGCGGCACCAACCACACAGCTGACGTCGAATTACGCGAGCGAATATGGTTCCGATATCGACATCCAGTCTATCGCGACGCTGAGTGACTACGGCTCCGATATCGACATTGACGACGACACCATACTTGCAGACGCTTTCGACACGATAAGAGACGCGGCGCAAACCCAGAAGAGTGCAGTGCTGCCTAGCATTGAGTTCGAGGAGGGCGAACGAGAAGATGAAGAGCAGGATGTGGACGGGTTCGTGCAGGTACACAGACCCACGGTGCTGCGCGTTACCAAGGGCAAGAGGAGTGTCGACGCGGATACACAGAGGGACATACAGAGTTCGCCCATGCGAGAGCGGAAGGCGCTGGAAGTCGAGTACGACGAGAGATCGCGACGGACGTGGAGTGGTACGTCGACCAAGAACCCATAGTAGGAGACATGTCGTATGAACTGACAACTAACAGCGCCTAGTTCCTCACGAACAACCAGCCACTCCGCCTTCACCTTTGCAATTCCAACCTAAGCGCAGCGCATCGCAAGCCACTGCCGCCGCTCCACCCGCTCCAACTCAAGCCGTCCAAGCCGCTGAAACCGACACCCGTCCGCCCCTCGAGCGTTTCCGAACGAAACCCAAGAAATGTCTCTCGGTGACCGATCTCGTCTCCCCGGCTTGGTGCGAATTACAGTATTTTTACACGCTCAGCAAATTCGGGCGGAAGCCACGAACACAGGCTATGAAGACTGGTAGCAAGATCCACCAAACGCTCGAAGACCAAGTCCACACAACGGTGCCGGTGCAGATTGAAAGCAAAGAAGATGGATTTGGGCTGAGAATGTGGAATGCGATTTCTGGGCTGAGGTGTTTGAGGGAGATGGGACTGACGAGAGAACTGGAAGTCTGGGGTGTGATTGAGGGTCAGGTTGTTAACGGGGTTATCGATGAGATCAGTTATGTTTGTCCCGACGCGGAATTTGAGCAAGAGGTTGAGAGGGCGAGGGCAGAGAAGAACGGTGGTATTGTTCCTTTGCCACCGAATCAGCCCAGCATCTCAGACGCTTTTGCCAAAGCCTCTGGGAAACCGTCTTCATCCGACCTGTTGCCCTCCGCACCAGATCCCTCAGACCGCCAAATCTACATTGCAGATGTAAAGACGCGCTCCGCGAAATCTCTCCCAACCGGTGCGAGTCTACGCCCTACATGGATGCAACTCATGCTCTACCGCAAACTCCTCGAATCCCTCTCTTTAAACACAGTGGATGCGGAGACTGTCCTGCAGCGCTACAGCCTCGACCCACTTGCGCCTTTTACGCAAACCTTCTTGGGTGAAATCTCTTCCATAGGTCCGCATGGGAACCCAGAGTCCGAAGCGACAAATTACCCAAATCTACTCTCACTATGGAGTCTGCTCGTCACAGAGATGCAAGAAACGTTTCCAAAGGGAAGCTTGAGCCCGATACTACGGGCGGAGTTTCGGTACGCAAAGACGGGAGATGTGCTTGGTAGTCGGCTTACGGTGTACGAGCCGGAAGTCATCGATGCGTATGTTGGGAGTGAGATGGCTTGGTGGAAGGGTGCGAGGGAGGCCAAGGGAGTGGAGATTGAGGAGGCGTTTAAATGTCGGATATGCGATTTTGCTGAGTCGTGTACGTGGAGGAAGACGAAGGTTGAGGAGGCTGTGGAGAAGAGTAGGCTTAGGAGGGAGGGGAAGGCGAAAGCTGTTGTTTGAGGAGGATGGGTTTGGTAGGGTGTGTGTTGGTGTTTTGATGGTATGGTAACGTAGTGACGATGTTCATGAATACCGATATTGCTTGATGATATAATAAATTCTTGTCCTGCATAAATATGGAGGCTATCCTTGTGCATGACTGGGTGAGTGGGAGAGGTGGAGAAGAGGATGCCGGAGGTCTTGTTTGGTGGTATTGACTGAGAATGAAAAGAGCATGTCGCATTCAGATCTGACTATTACCTAGCTGATTCTCCGCAATGGTTATGGGATAAGTGCTTTGGTGTGCGATGCAGTTGCAGTTTGGGGAGTGTTAACCGTCTTCAGATCTCTAGCAAGAGGTAATGTAACATAGTTCGGCCAACTGTATCTTAGTAGACATCTCGTTGCTTACACTATATGTGACTGAGAAAAGCTCAATACAATCACAAAGCCTCCACCTTACATTCCATCAGCGATCCCTAACTTTTCCGCTACACTAATAAAACCCATACTCCCCTCTTCCAATCCAATCCACAGATCCACCCAGCCCGCCTCCCTCGCCTCCTTGATCTCCTCTTCAGTCCAATCCTCCTCCCCAGCCCTCTCCACGTAAACAGTCTTTAGTCCATTTTCATGTGCAGCTTTGAGGTCAGGTAGATGCGCAGCCACCATAACACACTCCTTAGGTTCCAAACCAAGTTTCTCCGCCGCCCCAAGATATACTTCCGGCGCAGGTTTGTAAGTGCCGAACATCTCAGCCGAGAAGATATGTATAAAAGGTATCCCACTGTACGCACGGAGATCTGTAAGAAGACTCACATTCCCGTTCGAAAGCATGGCTGTTGCAAATCGTTTGTTGAGTAACTCAACGCCGGCGGCAGAATCTTCCCAAGGGACTAATTGGTGCCAGACTAAGCTCAGAGCAAGAATCTCCTCGTCATTCCACAGGCCATCAAGCTCCCATTCCGTGATAAGCTGCTTCAACGCGCTCAAGTGGTGGTCGTCGACTGATTTCCACGGGATTGAGGGGTCAGCGGCTAGTTGTTTTGTGAATATCTTGTAACTGTTTCGCCATTGCTGGGCGAACTTCCCCCAGTGTTCATCTGTCATTTCCGATGCTCGCAATCGTAATTTAGATGCCAATGATGCGGTTGCTGAGTTGAGCGACTTGTGGGCTGCGAGGGAAAGCGCACTAGTGACGGTCGCGCGCCAGTTGACGCAGGTACCGAATACATCGAAGAATAGTGCGCGTGGTGAAGGGGACAGAGACATGGTTATGCTGGTAAACTGCTGTGTAGAGGCTAGAGGTAGTAGTTTTTGCGGGCTGAAGTCTACTTGGCTGATGGTTGAAGGCATGGGGTTATGTACGTCATCGGGAATATGCACGGAGTAAGAATGTCCGTAATACACCTCACAGAGTCGAGGGCGTCTGGATCCCACTCACGGTTTTTCATATCGAATAGGACGAAGTTAGGCTGCATCTATCTAGCCACGCGATCTGAGTAGCTTCAGAGTTGAGTCTTCACGAAGCAGTCGTGCGTCAAAGCTTAATGTCTAGCCTCCCAGCCACCTCCGCATCTCAACATTCTTCACACCAAGCTCTCTACCACAACCTGCACGAATGTCATATATGAAGGGACCTACGATAAGGAGAAGTTAGAACCCACTTGACATCATGCGTAAGTCGATGCGCTTACGGTCAGCATCCGACCAGGCGGGATGCCGTCCCCAGCCGTGCCCAGGTGTTAGCACCCCGCTAGCGCTTTGCGGGGAGCTTCAGGGCTTGGGGTAGTCCGAGCCATCTCCTTCCGAGGTCAGCATCGTCGGTCCCCTTGGACCGATCGGCAAAGTCTAAAAGATCAATGCTCATGACGCCCATATGCTCTTCGCGAAGAGCAACTCGTGCTTTACTGCATTCACCATCTCCAAGTTCAGCGTACCGCCATTTGCTTCCCTTTCAGCTTGTCGCCCACACGTCTGTGTTAGCTTCGCCACTGCATCTAGCAGACTGCTTTCATCACATAGTCAATTAACATCATCCATCCGGATTGACAAGATGCCTCAAGAGCACATCCAGGATCAGGTCTACGCGGCCTCCATCAACAACCCCGAGCAGTTCTGGCAGCGTCAAGCGAACAATCTATACTGGCATAAGAAGCCGTCTACAGCGTTCCAAAGGAGCACCAAGCACTTGAAGAAGAGCAATGTGTCACACGAGCACTGGGAGTGGTTTGCCGATGGTGAGATTTCAACAACATACAACTGTGTTGACCGCCATGTGGCAAACGGTAACGGCGAGAGGGTCGCGATCTGCTGGGATAGTCCAGTGACCGGTCAGAAAGAGCAGTACACGTACAAGCAGCTTTTGCAAGAAGTAGAGACACTGGCAGGTGTGTTGAGGGAAGAGGGAGTCAAGAAAGGCGATGTCGTATTGATTTACATGCCGATGATACCAGCTGCGCTGTTTGCTATGCTCGCTATCGCCAGGCTTGGAGCTATACATGCGGTTGTGTTTGGTGGCTTCTCGCCGGCGGCACTGGCCCAGCGGATCGAGGCAAGTCGCCCTGTCGCGATCATGACGGCTTCTTGCGGGATTGAAGGAGCCAAGAAGCCCACCGAGTACAAATCGATGATTGAAGGCGCCGTTCACAAGAGTAGTTTCAAGCCATTCAAGACGATTGTTTGGCAGAGAGAGCAGCTAAGATGGGATCCGATAGTCAAAGAGGAGGGTCAGAGAAACTGGCAACGACTAGTCAAGAGCGCGAAGAATAGAGGTTTGAAGGCAGATGCTGTGCCTGTTAAAAGCGGCGACGGACTGTACATCATTTACACATCAGGTACTACCGGGCTACCAAAGGGTGTTGTCCGCTCAGCAGGGGGTCACGCTGTTGGACTGAACTTTTCCATCAAGTACCTGTTCGGAGTCCATGGTCCGGGCGACGTTATGTTCACGGCAAGCGATATCGGTTGGGTTGTTGGGCATTCTTACATTGTCTACGCTCCACTGCTAGCTGGTGCTACCACTGTTCTATTCGAGGGCAAACCCGTCGGAACCCCCGATGCGAGCACATTCTGGCGCGTAATCGAAGAGTACAAAGTGACGACCATGTTCACCGCTCCCACAGCTCTACGCGCAATCCGCAGGGACGACGGCGACAATGAGTTTTTCGAGGAAAGAGGGCAAAAGGGTGCCTTGAAGACACTCAGGGCGCTTTTCCTGGCAGGAGAAAGGAGCGAACCGAGCATCATCCAGATGTACCAGAAGCTGCTCACAAAGCACTGCGCTCCAGGTGCCATGGTTGTAGACAACTGGTGGTCTTCCGAATCTGGCTCACCTATCTCGGGCATCGCACTCAGCGCCTCTGCTGGACTGGATTTTTCTTCGCAGGAGAGACCTGCGCCGCTTCCGATTAAGCCTGGCTCAGCTGGAAAGGCTATGCCCGGGTTTGATGTACGTATTGTGGATGACTCAGGCAAAGAGGTTAAGAGAGGCGAGATGGGCAATATCGTCATGGCGATACCGCTTGCTCCAACGGCTTTTACTACGCTCTGGGAAGACGAAGAACGCTTCTACAAGGGCTACATGAAGAGGTTCGATGGGAAGTGGATTGACACTGGCGATGCTGGTATGATTGACGAGGAGGGATACATTTCAATCATGGCAAGGGCAGATGATGTGATTAATGTTGCGGCACACCGCTTCAGTACAGGTATGTCACGTCTCACTTGATGGGCTGTGGGAATAAACTGACAAGTGCTAGGCGCCATAGAGCAAGCTATCACGACCCACACCTCCATCGCCGAAGCAGCTGTAGTCGGCATCCCCGACGCTTTGAAAGGTCACCTTCCCTTCGCCTTCATCACACTATCCGCTCACGCACATTCCGAGTCCGCTGTGGCAGACGACAAACTCTTCGCCGAGGTTCAACGTCTAGTACGTGAGCAGATTGGTGCAATTGCAAGTCTCGGCGGCATCATACAAGGCAAAGGGATGATACCCAAGACTAGGAGCGGCAAGACGCTGAGGAGAGTGCTGCGTGAGCTGTTGGAGAATGCTACGCATGGAGAGTTTGACAAGGAAGTCAGTGTTCCGAGCACGATTGAAGACAGGCAAGCTGTTGATGTTGCGAGGGAGAAGGTTAGGGAGTACTTCAAGGTCAAGGGGAAGGATCTGCACAAGGCCACGGAGGCGAGGGCGAAGTTGTAGGAAATGGGATGTGGACTACTAGCAAGGAACTGCTCTTGTAGAGGTAATGTGAACTGTGTTAGCGATTAGTTGTTATAGCGTCTTTGAATGTACACGTTGAGTAAACATCTATCATTGTCGCGCCTTCGCTCTTTTATAAGTCCCCTAGGGATCCTAGCCATGTAGGCTGCACCGTCTCTTACCAGCTGGGCGCATATCAACATTCTCCCCGATATCAGTACAAGCCGTTTGCATAGCAGCCACCTCGTATTTGCTGGCTCGTTACCGGATGAATGAGCGGAGTCGGAACCGGCGAGCAGCGGCCCGTCCCCCGAAAATCGTGTTACACGAAGCGACCGTTCAACGCTCGACGCCAAACGCCCCAGCGGTTAATCTCGCATCATGGGCAAACCAACAAACAATTGAACGACGTGGAGCTGAAAAGCAGGGGAAAAGGATACCGTTTCCGTCACGGCAGCGTGTTGTTGGCCCCACCCCAAACACGTGCTTGCATGGTGCTGCGGGCGATGGCCCAACCGCCGGACTGCGCTCCTGCAACTTCCCGGGGGGCTGACATACATGGAGCTCTGTGCTGAGCTGCGACCTTCCCGCCCATCTGGGAGCTTGACACTTCATCAGCGCATATATCAAGGCATTCCCTGAGTCGCATCGTCTGGTCGGCGAGTGAGCCTCGTCAGCGTCGCGTTGGCTCGTCCTGTCATCTCAGGTTGTGCCTCACGCCGCGTCTACAAGCTCTCTTACCGGCAAAAATAGTTGTCGCATGGTCACCAATCAATGCGGTAACGGCAGCAAGACGTCTTACACGAGATAGCAGGCCGCGCCGCCAGTGTCGGTCGCGGAGGTGGCTCGTATTTGCCAGAGACGTGCCGGAGACGACGTCTGTTGGTGCAGTGATCCCGTCGGCTCGGCCAGAATATCAACAAGCAGTAGCAGTGAGCCAAGCGATTATCGGCTACACGCTGTTGCGGCTTGGGGTCCTGTTCCCCGAAGCACCATCCCTTCAAGGCCAGGACTGACCAGGACTGAAACCCTGGCGCAAAACTGCCCGTCCCATCTCACACCTCGCCCTGCAATGTCCAAGCATGCTTTACATGTTGTTGCAGCACGGCCCTTGCTTTGTGTCCCTTGGTGTGGCTGGAATGTTGCAGCGATGAGGGGGGAGTGCTGCTGCTGCTAAAGAGCGGGCTGTCGATGGCTCGGCGTCTTTCTTGTTCCTACAGAGTCGAGGGTGCATGTGTAGTGGCCTGCGCGCTCCCTCTCTCCCCAATGACACCCCCAAGGGGGGTCCCCGTTAGCAGCCCTAGTATAGTCCTAGGGCCTGCCGCCTGCGCTTGCGCACTGAGACGACGGCAGCTCTTCTGGCCGTTGTGCATGGTCGACTCGCAGGCGACATGGCACAACGAGACGGCCGCACACATTTTCGAGACCAGGCTTCCAGGACTTGGGAAGGGGGGCCACGGCGTCATGGGCTTATATGTACACCCAGCAGCCAGCCACGGGCCCGGGTCGGCGAGGCGGTCTTTTGTGCTTCTGGCGGTGCAGCCCTTGGCTGTTTCTCGTCTGAATGGCCTGGACAGGACTAGGCGAATCCTGATGTCTGGCAGCCCCCAGTGCTGCAGCGCCGTCGCCCAAGGCCCAAGGTGCCAACCTCGACGCAGCGTAAAAACCCCGGCCGCCCATGTCGACTAATCGCGCGTTTCTTTTGACCTCCCTCATTCATCACGCCGCTATCGTTGCCCCCGTCCACGCCGCTGCTTGCTCATCCCACGTCGCCCGCGTCCATGCAACGGAGCCCCGATAGTAGACGCTGATTGATAGGTGATGCCCCGGACTCAGACTCTTGCACCTTTCTAGTTCCCTTGCCGCATCTGTGCATTGCCAAATCCAAGTCGACCATCTTCACGTGGGGACACGAGCCACTGGAGCGAGAACCCTGACCAAGCAAGCCTGCCACACCTTACCTCGCCCAACTTTCTCTCCATCATCATCTCGACTCGACCACCGTCGGACCACGCCCAGCCTTTCTCTCCCTCTCCCCTTGCCGTCAGCCGCATCACCTCCCCGC